ATTGAGGGCAAGAGGGATAGGGGGAAGGCAGCAAGCCATGTACCTGATGATCTTAAACGGATGGTAGAACGGGGGTGTGGGCCTTAGCAAAAGGAAAAAAAAACTGAAAGAGCCACACAAAATAGAAAGTTATGGAGAATCATTATTGCCAATGTCCTGAAGGGATGCAGTACCATAAGATATCAGGTGATGTTTGTTTTTCAAATAGTCTATCACTATTTGTAGATTATTTATCCCTGGAAGGAGTTGTCTCTGATGCAAAGTATGATTCTAAACTCATTTGAGCCTGTTCTAGAGCTCTTGCTTGATCAAAAGGAATATGATATGAAATCTCATGAAAAGAGTAATGTAATTAATGAGTCCATTCAATTTATTATCTGGAGACAGTTGCTCAATAACTTCAAAATAATTGTTTCATATAGTATATCAATGGTTCCATTCCAAAACATGAATTAATGCTGGTTTCAAACCTCTCTTGTTGCAAGAACTTATCCATGGACCATTTGTTTAAAGTCTGTGATATGTCTTAGTTGAGTAAATTGTAGTTGAATCCAAACTTATTTCTTAGGTTTTATTCAACAATGAAAATGGTAATACAGTGCAACTCAAAAGAGATTGCAAATACTAATAGTTTGCATTTTCTCTAATAAAATATGCTTTATGGACAAAAGTTGAATATTTTAATTCTTTACTGCTCACCCAATACCCAAACATTACATCTTAGAATAAATTTATTCATGATTTTTTTATTAATTAAGGAAATAATACTGACTCAAAAGTTTTTGCAAACTTTAATTTAAAGCAATTGGTTCTGTTCAAATCAATTGTACAAAATAATGAAAAGCTGTATTATTTATTATATACCAATGAAAGTTGGTATGGCTTTGTTTAGGTATCAATGTATGAAAACACAAGGAGCACATTAATATTTGATTTTTTGATCATCATTCTTAAGAAGCTCAATAAGTCATTTATCAACTGATGAAGTGAGTTTCCTAAATTTGCTGGTTGTAATTTTAGATGCACTTCCACAGGTGATCCTTGTTAGAAAATTATTGTCCATTTTCATAAACTCAATGCTTTACCATGGTCCAAAGGTTCTCAATAGGGTTTAAATTGGGAATCTGTGGTGGCCGTACCATAATCTTGTCCCCTGTAAAACCTTGATTTGCCAATCAATCTTTGGTGAAGTGCACCACATGACTGGGGGCATTATCTTGCTGACAAACAAAATTACTACGGAACTCATCATTTTGTGAATTCAAACCAGGGTATGAAATTTTCTTTTAAAAATTGGCAATAATTAGCTGAATTCAGTTTGAGTCCTTCTGGCACAAGAAATGATCCAATTAATGTTGTACAGTCTTATCAGTCATGATGCTAGTAATTCTTCACTGAATATTGATTGATTGATTTGCTTTTGATAACTTATCAATCCTTTGTGGGTTATTTAAATCCCAAATATATTTTGGATTGTAGGGGGGTTGCTTTACAGACCTGATGTTCTCAAGTGCTCCCCAATGAAAGCATTGACTGGCCTTGATACAATTTGTGTTTTCAGCATCCTGCACAGAATAATAACTGGAAGCTGCCAATGATGTCAATTTGTTTAAGGTGGACCTCAACTTGCCAGGAAGTGACCCACACACTTGATTTCATGACCTTTCTCTGTAGAAAATATGGAATGAGACATGCAGAATCCAGTTATGAAACTGCAATGGACTGCCATTGACTCAGTTATAATTTCAAGTGGCACCTTGTGTAGCATGTCCACCATACATAGCCTTCTTCATCTGATGGTTCAACCAATGAGATTTGTTGTAATCATCATCTGCTAGTTCCACTGTTGGGGCTTTTGGGGTTGGTCACACTTAGTCTGGGTCCTTGTCTTCAAATTTGCTGCCAAGGGTGGTCTTACCAGGAGTTTAGAACACCCAACAGCATCACTCTCAGAGTCAGTGGACCACGTAAGACAGAGAAGCTATTTTGGACAATGAAATTCTTCATAAAATGAATCTTGCATTTCAATACTCAATTTTTCAGTCTTATCGAATGAATAATTTTTTTATCATTTCACCCCATGAAAGGCTGTAAAGCCATTAAGACATGTTATTGAGCATGAAAGACTAAGGAAAAAAAGAAACATTGGAGCGACCATCACAGCATATATATACATATATATGTTGGTGTATTTATCTCTGTATATGTATACATATTCCTATGCACAAGAATTTGTCATGTTTACAAGGGGGTGCTGAAAAGTTCTTTCTCAACTTTTTACCCAAAATCTGACCAAGTGACCAAAGATCAGATATTTTTTTTTATTTGAAAGGCTTCTTAGGCAGATAACTTTTTAGCATCCCCTCCTACATACCAAGTGTATACAAATATGCATGATTGTCTGTTCATGCACAGAAAGTCTTTGTAACTAATAATGGACTATCTCAGTGTTATTGGGGATTCTGTTTTTCATTGTTACATTGTCTTTTAGTAGCAATAAAACAATGAATGTATTCTGAATTAATGTATTTTCTTATTAAAAGGGATACAAAAAGAACTTGTGTTCCAATGAATTGTTTTTCCTCATAGGACTATGAGTTTATAGGATTCTCAGATTCAAAATGGTTCCTCTCTGGTTCCTAACTCTTTCAATCTCAATTTAACAATATGCTATCCATCATCATCATCTAGTCAATGACAGAGAGAAATTAAAAACAAAATGGACACTTAACATCAGAGAGATACAAATGAAATTTCTTTGGTTCATAATGAGGAAAGAGAAGTTGGAAATTTTAATACTCACATAGCAGATTGGAGTCAAAAGGGACAGGGGAAAACAACACATAATCTACTTAGTGAGCTTGAATAAATGAATGGCAGAACAGGGTTTAGGAGAGATCACAAAAAGAGAAGATTTATTAAGAGCTACAAGTTACAGGAAATTGTGGAATCTATCTTACTTATAAGTCTACCATTCATCCATTCTTTGAATATTGCTGCCACATATGATCCAGGGCTCCTGCTATATATTTAGAGATTCTTGATAAAATTCAAAGAAGAATCAGCAATATTATTGGTCTTGATATGGTGTCTCAGTTTCAGTCACTTTCCCATCACTGTAAAGTTGCTTCTCTGTACCTTTTCTTTAAATACTTTCATGCTAATTGTTTGGATGAGCTCCTCACTATAGTACTTAGACTTTATGAATTTAAGTGCTGTACTAGATTAGTAACATAGCCTCATCAAATTACAGTTGAATTGGTTAGATGTAACTATAAGTTTTATGCTAACAGTTTCTTTTCTTGCACTTCTCACTTGTAGAATTCTCTTCCAGCTTCTTATTTTCCAACTAACTTTGATCTTCAAAAATTTAAATGTAATGTCAATCATTATCTACTGTCTTCTTGATTACTCTTCTCTTGTTCTCACACCATAATGTTTCTCTTTTTCCTCAGTCTTTCATGCTCAATAACCCATTATGTCTTAGTGGCTTTACTGCCTTGCATGGGTTGAAATGATAAAAAAAAACATATTCATTTGATAAGACTGAAAAATTGAGTATTGAAATGTAAGATTCATTTTATGAAGAATTTTATTGTCCAAAATAGCTTCTCTGTCTAAATTTTCCTCAATGCAATTTCACTTTAGCTATTCTATGTAGTATGGTTAGTTGATGTTTTATTCAAGTAACTTTTGAAGTCACCCAATTTATTCTAGTTGTGAGTAAATAACCTGAATTTGCAACCTAAATTTCAACTTTTCTAGCCCTAAAAGCCCTTTTGTTCTATGCCAATTACCAGACTAAATGATTCTTCAGTGGTTTGATATCTCTTTGCTTCCTACTGATTCATCAAAGTATTATGATTTATGAGTTATATTAAAATTGAGAAAAAAGTTATTTTTTTCTGGCTTTCTCTTTGATAAGGACAAAGTGTAATATCTGTTCTCTTCAAACTATGAATTCTGATTATTTTCTTGAAAGAATTGCTATTTTTATTTGCTCTTAGATATTTTAATTTTTATTGCAAGGTTGTGTCAATAAGTCTCTTAGCTGAATTTTGATCTGAAAATTTCACCGTACTATATTTGATCTATGAGATTAATATTCACTACTGAATTAAGCATTCACAAGAAAAGAGTTTATTTTGAAAAATAAATGTTTATGTAAAATAAATGCTTTTTCATCATGAGAACTTACTGATGTGCCTACATAAACTACATGTTACATTATTACAATACACACAATAAGAAAGTGATGTCTTTACATCCCATTTTGAAGATTTTAATATCAATGATCCTAAAACTTCAATGGAAAGCCAAGAATATTAGATAATGTTCCCAAAAGTCTTCTTATTAAACATTTTAAAGATCTATTTTTCTATATAATAAAAAGAAATTACCATTTTTTTTTCAATTAAAATTAAACAAACAGATTAAAATCCTGATTATATAGTTTTTGTAAGCTCATTTTATGTACTCTATGATATTTCTGATAAATAAACTCTAAAATATTTTCTTTTTGATTCAACCTCAAAATAAAAGGTTCTTTGAAAGTAACTGTTATTGCCACAGGTCAAGTATTAATTATTAATTGTCAACACTTTCAGGTTTCATTAAAAAGAGAATAGAGAAATAGAGCTGAGGGAAATTCCAATTCTTCTGCCAACTTATGGAAATTTATTACTTCAAATGTTTATGTTTCAAATATTCTTTGGTGAAACACTTTCATTTCAAAGAATTCTTTTTCTGGGTTGACAATCCAAACACTCATTGGTCACTTGTATCATTGACAATGTTGAGATTATTTAATAAAAATTCTGATTTTGACTACATTTTTTTTTCTAAAAATATTCATAAAGAAAACTTTTTTTTTATTGATTCTTGCTGCTGTGCCTTCTTTCTAATTGTCTTTTTCATTTGTATGTAAGATCAGCATCCACCTTCAGTGTATAATATGTATAAAATGTAAGTTTGGTTATATTATATCTACTTTATTACAGGCCTCCCAGTGGGTCCATGTTGCTGTACAGCCGCAACAAAGTGCGTTATCGCAAAGATGGCTACTGCTGGAAGAAGCGAAAAGATGGCAAAACAATTCGAGAGGATCATATGAAGTTGAAAGTTCAGGGACTTGAGGTCTGTTAACTGTTCTTGTACAATCATCTACATTTCAACCTCTTTTATCATTGTGGTTAATTTTAATTTCCATTTGACTTTGAGCATCAACTCTCTTTAGCAACTAAACCAACTTTTCAAATGCAAAGTAAATATCAAAAAGACAAATTTGAATGACATTATAATTTTTTTTTATTCTTAGTTTATATTCATTTGTAATATCAAATTGCACTTCATGATATTTTTTTACTGAAAAAAAAGTACCTCCCAAATAATTCTGTCAGCTGACAAATTGTCTTGTAAAAATTCTATTTGTATTCCTTCTGTAAATTCTTACAAAATACAACTTGTACTCATTCTTGTTCTTTTTTTATTGTGTGTTGTGTAGTGTTTGTTCATTTTGTTTTTATATTGTTTCTAAATATTAGGTTATTAAAAAAAAATCATATTCTTCTTGTACCTTTAATCTCCCGGGATTTGACCATTGTCTTATATTGCTTTGAAATGTTCATATTTAAAATAATAGACACTTTTATTCACAATTAAACCATAATGGTTTTTGTCAGTAAATCATAGAGTAATTTTGGTCAAATGAGAACTAGACAGAGGTTAATGTTCTTATTGAAAGTGCTAATCAGCTAAATTATTTATATTATAGTTGCAAAGGTTAATAAAATAAATGAGGCATAAAGATTTTTTGTTTTTGGGATTTATGCCAATGTAAATTGGCCTGATAGGTATTTGCCCATTTATTGTATAGATTTATTTGCTGCCATTATGGGACATATTTCACACAATCATTTTCTGTTATAAACTACTCTGAAAAGTTCTATTTATTAATTTTTTTTTTCAGTGTATCTATGGATCCTATGTGCATTCAGCAATCCTGCCCACATTTCACCGTAGATGTTACTGGTTATTGCAGGTAAGATGCTTATTAATCAGGCTTTTGTCTTCTATTGGAATGATTTGTCATTTTATATAGCCAATGGAAATCACAATCATATCAAGCAGAGTAAAATCCTCAACAATTTATCAATTTTAGAATTATTCAGTTTGCAGTATTTATTTTTCTAATTTATATTAGCTGTTCATTTATTTGAATTGTATTTGTCTTTATTCTACAAAAAGGAAATTCTTTTTAAGCATCAGTACATTGATAAGTTATACTCTTGTAAATGTTCTTCTCTTAATCATAGTCTATCATTGTAATGAGAAATTAGATTAAAAAGCCAAACATTGATTAGAATATTTTGATTTGTTGCTGACATGATGTTCATACATCTTCATTTATTTTCTACTTTCATGCAACATAATATTTGTAGCAATATTTCTCTTTATTTCTTAAATTTTCTTTGCTAATGTAGTGCCAGATGCTCTTTCTGTCACAATCGGAAAAGCATAAGCTCTCTTGACCAAAGTGTTGAACCCTTGTCTTTGTAATATCTAATATTCCAATAACTCTGACATGAATTATTGTTGCAAAATAGAAAGAGTCTCCTTTTCATAAACTTGAAGTTTCCTCTCAATTACTTTTGTAAAGCACTTTTAGAAATATTTATTCAAAATAGGCCAGAAGAAAAAAAAACTTTTTCTCAGTGGACTTGCACGTGGAGATTTGGTATTTTTGGAGCATTCTCCAAGTGATAAGCACTTGATCTAATTTGAAAGTAGACAGCTCAGGATTTCAGAAATATTCTAACATTGTCCTAAGTCCAAGCATTTGTCCATGTTTAATCATTTATTTTTAGATCATCAGTTGCCTTTTCCTGCCTCTTTTTGCCTAAAAAGGCATTTGAATCTTGTTGCAATGAATGTTATAAATGGCAGGTTTAATGTGACACTCTTTTTCAAAATGACTTGTATTAAGTAAATGTGTTATGGGATCTTACCCATAATAATAATAATAATGGACTATTCCATACTTAATAAATACTGCGCCTCAGTCAGTAGGTAAGGAGTCAGTAGTTCAAGTCTGAACCGACTGTTCGGTTAAACTCTCTTCCTACGGACGGGAGGAACCCGAAGGAGGCTACGCCCAAGGGCGGAGTCTCTTCGGGAGGTAGATCGCCCTGAACCCGTTTATACGGGTTCAATGGGCATATTTTGCCGAGCCCACGGGCTCGGAATGCCCACGTTAAAAAGGCCTTGTGCCACATGACACCCTCGTGGGGGGGGGTGACTGAATATCGTCAGTAGTTCAAGTCGAGTCGAGTCAGAGGCAGTCCGAAACAGAGTTGCATTCAAACAATTATGGCAAGACATTGGAATAGTGATACTAGTTGAGACTACATTGTTCTCTCTACTAAACCTGATTGTTCATACTAACACTTCTACTTCTCTGTATATATTCCTGTTTGTAATATATCTGTGTTATTCCATACCTGTGTTCAAGTTCTTCTTTATTGGTTCTACCTTGGACTATCACCGTGGTACAAGGAACCGGACCATAACAGAATGTTGGGACCCTACAACACAAACTTCAGTTAACACTATTTTTTGGGACGTATTTTGTCTCTGACCACCCCAACTTCAAATAATGTTAATAAAAAGTTCCAGAGATAATTTTTTCAGTGTAAGTTCCAAAATATTAAAACAATTTAAATCTATGAAATCTAAAATAATTGTTTTCGGGAAGATATTTAAAGTGTGCTCAGTTACTATCATACATTATATTGATCATTACCAGCTTAATATGCCGGGCATCAAATGTCAGTTTTTGACATAACTTACCTTGTATTTAATAGGAAATCATAATCCAGATCTCTATTCTTATGCTTTTGGGAGTGCTGAATACATTTTTAGCACTGAAAATTTCCCAAAAGAAGTCTATGTGGGTTAAATGCAAAGTTTAATCTCTTTTGGGGAATTTTGGTTCCTCTTTGCAGAACAAAGAACTATTTTTTGTTAATTAGAAATATGAAAATTTTGTTTTAGTCTTCCTCTTCAATACAAATAACATTAATACAGTTTCATAATTGAGTTGAAAATCATTTAAGGGACTCAAAAAATGCAAATGTCCACTTGGCTCTATTGGGCAAAAACACTTTATTTAAAAACCAATCTTTCTAAATGTAAGTAAGCTGTTTATTATAAATTTAGTAAAAAACCATAATTGTTTGATAACTCCAAAAATTATAGAGGTGATGTCACTTTAATTTGGAAAAACATAATTTCCTGTCAAATTATAGCCGCATCATTTCCTACATTTCTTTCAGGTTCCAATTCATCTGTAGCAAACATATTGAAAACAGATTTATTGCTTTTGAACAACAATAAATTGAAATTTGAAAAGTTCATACTGATCATTAATCTCTCTTTTCTCCAAATAAAAGTGAACACTTGAAGTTTGCTGATTTTATATTTTATTTTTTTCCCCTAAAAATAATTCTGGTTATGGCAGAAATAGTTTTGATCTGATTTAAGTAGATTGCTCACATCGCATCAACTCCAGCGTATCATGTTCTACCACGAAAACTAAAGCTAATATTAGCAAATCTCAACATTGTTCCTATTTGTACCGTTCATTCCTTTAAAAATAAAAAATGAAAAAAAATACAGTTTCTGATTCGAAAAGATTGAAAAGCAGTGATTATTGTTATGCTTCACAACATGGAAATATTTACCTTTTTCCTAATTAATAAAAGACACAAAATGATGTTACTAATTTCATCATAACTTCTTTTCTAAAAGAAGTTTTCAATTACTTTATGATGACAATATTTTCACTATCTATAATAAACATTCAATTAGAGAAAATATATACAACAGCTGGCTTTTCAATTACTTCAAAGTTGTATTATTATTCGATTTAATTTATTTTTTAAGTATTAGTTTTTTTTGTATACTGAGACGTTTTGAATTGTACAAATCTATTAGAAATGTAACGTCAATTAAAAAAATTGATTGGGTAGGTAGGGTTTTGTTTATTTCTTTTCAATTTCAAGCCATTGCTATAATTGGTTTATGTTATTCTAAAAATGTCATCCACCATCTAATGTAGAGTTGCTAATTGGCTGGTGAGTGAATGCAAGTTAATGATTCTAAGATTAACAAAAACATTTTATGCTTTTTGCAGCTATAAAAATAGCTTCAGGATACTAACCCATTGCAAATAATTAAGTCATTTTACAAATATCTCATATTTTAGAATCTTATATCATTGTTATATTGAATGCAACATTTTATATTTTCATCATATCAGTTCTCATCACTTTTGACTTTGTATTCATTGATGCTTTTCATAATAATTATGCTTTGCATAAATTAACACAATGTACAAAGCTGATAACATTTCTCCAAGTAATTGTACTATTTATGCATGCAATTCTAGTATTTTTATAATTTTGTAAGTACATGAATTAAAAAATATATTAAAGTCCAAAATTCAAAATCTATGAAATTTTTCATTTTTCTGTGAAATAATTGAATGCCTGTCCTACCCTTATTGACAAATATCCTCCAATTGTCAACTACAGTTCTTTCATTGGTTTGCTTTTGAATAGGTCAAAGTTGGTACTCTTCAGTATTGTATTACTATATTTATCTCACCACTCAATTTTGCATGCAAATTTTGGCAGTGGCTTTAAATAGCACCACATTGCTTTTTTTTCTCTCTTCCTGAATAGTAATGTTCATAGATGTTGATCTAGCTATTCGCCTCTGTATCTGTATGGATTTTTATAAAATATATATAATATTAAATTATCTTCCCACTAATATATATATATATATATATATATATATATATATATATATATATATATATATATATATATTGTTTAAAAGTATGTAAATTAGTATTATATATTAAAAAAAATGCATATCATGAATGTGTCTATATGGTATAATTCACTTTGACTATCTTTTTATCATCTTGATAAATCATGAAAAAATATGACTAAATCTTGTGACAAACATTAAAATTGAGTAAAAATGTCATATTTTCAGGTTATTTCAAAAGTTTATTTTTCTTCTCTAATTTTCAATATTGCTTGAGGAAAAAAGAATGTATCTTTGAGCATTAATTCAAATTTTAAAGCAATAATTTTCCTGCTTTCTTTGAGATATTACTTTTCGAATTGAATATATTAATAAGTTAGTTATAGACCTTAACTGTTTTTGTTAAAGATATTATTTTGTATATTGTCCAATCAAAATGCAACATTAAAAGATTTGAATATAATTAGGTAAATTGTATATATGTAGGTCATAATGCTTATAAAATGTGAGTATCAAATTGTTTTTTTTTTTTACTCTCATAGAAATATAATGTAACTTTGTTTAAAAAATATTCAATTGTTCTATCTTGAAACCTCTTTCACCATCATGATGGATGTCATACTGTGCAGCTATTCAGAATTTGAAAAAAGTTTCTAGAAGCTGTACAATAATAATAATAAGAAGAAGAAGAAAGAAAAGACAAGTTTGAGAACTGAAATTATCAAATAATATTCTAATCTCTATTGTATTTGCTATCCGAAGACACTTTCCAAATCCCTATATGAAAACACTGCATAGACCAGAATTTGATCAAGGATAGACAAACTACTTTATTGTAGTACTTTATTTCATGATAAGAAGTTCAAAGAAACGTATGAGTTTAAAGAAACTAAATAGCATTCTATGGTTATCAATATCAAACATTAATTTGGATGTGAGTAAATAAATATATTTTAATAACTATTATAATCAGTATGTTATGAAGAAGGCTCTAGAAACTAATTAATACAAAAGGGAAAATGCTAAAAGTGCCTAGGTCTCATAATTTACTTTTCCATAACTAAAACAACTTTCACTTGGTTTAATTATGGAGGAAACAGTTGAAGATGTTCTTTGTTTGCATAGAACATTTATCTAAAATTTCTTTTTGAATATTAGATTAAAATTTACTAATCATAGCAGCTGCTAAAATTATTAAATCTT